TTGCCTCTCACCAGCAGATGTTGGTTCAATAAAAGATATTATCTCACCCTCCTTGCCTCTTCAGATTACATTGTCTTTGTTTCCATTCTGAAGCAAAAGAATTAACTTCATATGTCAGGGGATAGGGAAACAGGGCACATTACATCACCTGTGTTTTCACTGCATCACAGGTTTTTTTGCTTTCCAGCAGAACTGGATAACCAAACTCCTGAGTTCAATGAGACAGAATATCACCCAAGAAACATGTTTTTTAAACCAGTACCAAGTAAGAACATAGTACAGTACTTACTATAATCTTATTGATTTCCCGGACAATAATCTTCTGGGATCATGGAGATGATAGAGCTCAAGAATATTCAAGAACACAAGGTCATCGGGGGGGGGGTGGAGGGCAGGGAGGAAGTGTTTTGATTAAACTAAAAATGTTCATAGATCTCTGTACTCCATGGGGGCTGTTAAACTTCTACCAGAACGTCCTCTGTCATAGGTACAGGTCTGGGTGTGGCAGTGACTTGAAGATCTTCACTTTAGGCCAAATTGTGGTCATGTATGCAAAGGTCAAATAAACAGCCCTAAAGCATGGGATCTATACAGAGGCATGTCTAGCCTTTTTATCAGTCTGCTCATTTGTTGATGCAGAACCTACTGGTATAATCTTTTTTAAAAAATCATCATTTATATGTACATGGCATTCATTGTTTGAATTTGATTGGTCTGGCTTGTTTTATTTTTCTAGTGTCGGATAAGAGTGATCTTATTCAAAAGAAGGCAGCAAATGTAGGAAGAAAAAAAGATGTAAGGGAAACACTAATGCTTGCTGTATCATCTACAACTCTTATCATTTTAATAATATTTATGATATGCTGTGGTGTGACTCTCAACCAGTTCAGCAAACAAAAAAAGTAAGTCTTCCTATCACATGGAGTCTGAGTCCTGGGAAGAGGCTATGATGAGAATACCTGTTCTGTACTGGCCTCCCCATTGCACCTCTGAGCTCCCATATGGGATAGCTGCGTTTTTCTTTGGTGTAATGCTGGAGACAACATCCAGGTTAAGAGACCTGAGTTATTTCTACTTCCCATAAGACAATGGCTCTTTTGTGTTGCCTCAAGAGCTCAGGATTTTACCCTAGGAAGTATAAGGCAGACTTATGCATAAGCCTATTGTTTCTGATTATCCACGATAGTGTTGCCTAATGCACCATGTATATGGAGCAGGGATATACTGCTAGATCCCAGAATGCCCCCCACACCTGATATGTTTCTGTTAAAGTTAAAATATTCTAATAGAATATTAACTCTTAAAAGAAAACTACTGCTCTTCTCCAGTGCACAGAAGTGGTAAAGCAGTTTAACAATGAAGGGTAATATTCTTATACTGAAGATAATTACATGTTGAAATACATATGCTTTAAGAAAAGATAATTATGTGTTGAAATGCATAAAGGTTTTAAGATGTAAGGTTGCTATTCTTAACATTTAAGTGATACTACAATATTATGTAGAACTGTGCAAAATGTTTAGTAACCAAATAAAAACAAACCCAACTTTTATTTTCTCTCCTGTTTGGGAAAAGGCACACACACATTCAGTCACTTGGGTAACATTTTCCCCTTCAGGCGAAAAGCAAGAAAATCACCAAAAAAATCTCAAACAAATGTTGAATCTAGGAAGTGTATGTACTACAGCGTTCTTATCAAATACATGAACTTTTCCTGCTTAGTTC